AGGAGGATTACAGCATGTTTTGAAAGAAGATGAAGTTTACAAAGAAAATGTTAAGAGAATCATTGAGATGTACATTTCAGAAATACTTCAACACAACCAAAAGATTCAAACAACAATCAAGAGGATGGTATGTGGAGAAACAACAGAAAGAGGATTTGATGAGAATATACAAGAGAAGATAGAAGAAGAGAAAAAAAAGATAGAAGAAGAGAAAAAAAAGATAGAAGAAGAGGAAGAAAGACAAAAGAAAATAGTAAGAATCAGAAAGATACAAGTGGATGAAGAAAAGAAAAAACGCAAAGAACAATTAGAAAGAGAACAAAATAAAGAAAAAGAAGAAGAAAAACGAATAAAAGTTGAGAAAAGAAGAGAAAGAGAGATTGCAATTAAAATGACTGAAGAATTAAAAAAAATAAAAGCACGTGAAAATCAACAATCTCGTGCTTTTGCTCAATACAAGAATGATGAACACAAACTTTCATTAAAACTAAAAGACGATGTATTAAAGAAAAGAAGAATCCAAATCGGCGTTCGATTACCAAATGGTGAAATTAAAAAAGCAGTGTTTGTCAAAGATGATCAACTCTTTACTGTTTATAACTTTGTTCAAGGATTTGGCTTTGATGGATTTGTTTTTGTAGATGGTCGTTCTCACAAAGAAATAAATAACTTAGAAGCTACTCTTGAAGAACTTCATTTTTGGCCTTCTTTCTATTTGCATGCTGTCTTATTTAATAAGACTGACCCTTCTTACTATCAATAATTAATTCTCTTTATATCTTCTTTAACAAAATTATTTTGGAACTTTTGGCTCTTTTGGGAAGAGTTGAGAATAGTGCTGAATAGAATAAGTATACACAAAGGGATATCCTCGAAGAGATGGAGCTAAACAAGTCACGCAATTTTCGATATTCATTTTAGTTATTTCTTTGTTCATTGCAATTAAATGAAGAAGATCAAGTAATTCATTAAGAAAGTTATATGTCATAGGAGGGATATCTTTGTAAATTTCATGAAATTGTTGGAATAAATCATCTTCTTGTAATGTATTTTTTTGTTTCCATAATTCATATAATCTATCGTCAATAAATTTTGGAATGACTTGTTCTGGTAATAATTTAATATATAATTTCAATGCACCTGCAACAGAATGAATATCAAAGTTAGTAAGACATTCAAATGTCATCATTTTAGTGTCGAGTTTTTCTACTACCTTTTGGATGTTGTCTTTACTTCCAGATACTCTAAAGATTCCTTCGATAGTAATAGCATGTTTTTTGAGATATTGAATTAATAAACTAATATTTGGTGGTAATGTGATTATATTATTTTCTACACTTAGTGTTTCTAATGAAACACCTACTATTTTTATTATTTTTGTTGTTTTACTTTTATTGCTTAATCTACTGATAAATCCTTTTGAAAGCAATCCTTTAGATCTTGGAGATAATCCTTTATT